TGTTTCAGACATTAAATCCTATTTTGTGATGGACTAAGTAAGAAAAAAATTATCATAACAAATGAAAATTATCATTAATACAAGCCTTAAGTGAAATATAGATGACAGGGTACTGAGCAAAATGTTTTTCCATAATTTCTATTTCAGCTGAAATTTTTAGTTTTTCAAAAAGCTTTCTATGGATTATTTTTTCATCTTGCGACTATAATATTTCAAAGAAATGGTGTAGCATGGATAGATTTGTTGACTCGCCAAATCGGCGAGGACGAAGAACAAGTGATACAAAATCTGAACTCTCAATAAACTCTTTTATAAGCATCGACTTATCAACAAAAGTGAGGTGATCGCCTATAATAGATTTAAAATTATCTTTTCCAATAGCAACAGTTGCACCAAAAACAACACGAGCATTATTGACTATATAAAACAAAAGTTAATTTGTAAAGTGCAAGACTAAAATACCAGAAAGCAAAAAGAAATTAATATTCACGAGTCTTAGTATACGGTTCAAAATCAGAACCTAACATGACAACCTTTTGATTTCTATAAAAAATAATAAATTTTTACAAAATAATAGATATGCAAATTTTGTCAATTAGTCAATACTAAATGACTATATGGGGCCTTTGCAGTAGAAAGGGCCGATACTGGAATATATACAATTTTGAAATAATTGAGTTTGTTTTGTTAGGACTGATCCGGGTTAATCAAACTTTTCATAATTTGAGTGGCTAGTTATATCGGGTAATCTCGTGACGTACAAGTCTCCTAAAGAGATTTTTTTAAAATATCTCGATTTTTTATTATGCAAATCAATTTCTATGTATAATTGAAAAATGTAGCACATGTTAAAATTTATCTGAATATGTCAAAAACTCAATTTCCATTTTTTGGACAGTATCAGCCCTTTCTACTGCAAAGGCCCCATATAGTTGATTAATCGATTAGTCGATTAATTGATTATTGCGGTTTGCAAAATTATGTGAAATTTAAAGATCATTAAATCACGATTTCTGATTACTGATTTCCGATTTCTTCAACATTTTTTTGACTTTAGATTAGACAAAATTTGTGCAGTTATTATTTTGTAA